ATATTATTCATCGACATCGACAATACAAGGTTAATTATGATAAACAACGTCCAGATCCACATTATGAAATCAATGATCCATTACTGATTAAAATTCATGGAATAAAGAAAAAATTAGAACCAAAATATTCGATTACACCAAAAATAATTATTAGGAAACAACATCCAATTTATTGGGTCAAAGAAGAAAAAACACAGATCGAATCCAGAGTACGTGTTAACGATATTCGACCTATTCTTATTTTAAAATCAACATGATATATTATTGTTTAGTTATTTGCTAATATGATCATTAAATGTTAATGTTATGTTATGTTTATGGTAATTCGATGTTTAATCATCTTTGTTGTATGCGCAACGACTTAGTTGGACTAACATTGATTCGTTATGTATGTGAAAATGTTGATATTTTAATTGGCGCGCATTAATTATCAATATAATTGCCATTTGCATATGGTTAGCATTAACAAATATTGGCTATTACAAATACAAACAAATTACACAGAGGAAATCTTCTCTTTCAGAAGTGTTTCTGTTTTCAACAAACAAAGTTATTTATGTTTTAACTTTACACATATTACATATTTTATTAATATACTAAGGATATCTATGTATGCAATCTTGATAGGTTTATTTCTCAGGACGAATGATTAATTATATGATTTATTTGTTTACCTTATTTATATTATCCTTTTTTTCTCTTCACTTATTTTATATCAATTTGTTTAATCTTCTTTTCTTTAGTCATTATAATGTCAGATAAATTTGTTCCATATCATTTATGTGATATTAACAATACTCCAGCTCATCTTGATGACAATCAAAAATCGAATTGGATAAGTGCTGCAAAAAAAGGCGAAGAAAAATTATCAATATCAACAATAGTATCCAGCATTTGATATACCAACATCACTTTATGAAATTATATATGCAAACAAATATACAACAACTAAAACAATGCAAAAATGAATTGATCATGTACGAAATTGTAATGAATTTACATTTGATACTGAAGGTGAAAAATCAATCAAACAATTAACATTAATTCATTTACAAATTAAATAATTGTTTGAATTAATTTTTAAATTTAGAAATAACATATATTCTTGGAGACC